GGTTTTCAAAAAATTGATTTAGAGTCATGTGATTTTTGTGCTGATGTCTGTGCATCTTCGTTTTTAAGCTATGTGGTATATCAATCCCAGGAACTCTATGGGTATTTACAATCATTGCAATTTCAAGTGGATTGAAACCTCAGTGCTCACACCTTGTGGTGGTGGGTTCCTCAGCCACTCTCTCTCTCTTCCACTTTTCCACAGCAGCCCTTTGCTGGAGAGGGTGGGTGAGTAGGTAGCATGATGCTGAAGGAGCCAGGCATAGAGGGAAGTTCCCCAGGACTCTTGCAACAGGTTCTACCGCTGTTGCTTCTTCTGTTCCCTTCCGCTGCAATGCTGTCAGTTATTTTTTAATAATTTCCTAATTTTTAAAATGTATTTCAAAGAGGCATAGCACTAGATCCTAAAGGAGTAAGATAAATCACCAGCAAGGCATCTGTCAGCAGTCCCCAGCACTTAAGCAACGCAGTGATAAAACAGAAACATATAGAAAAAATTAAGAGTTCAGACATGTAATACTCAACAAACCCCATAGACACAATCTACTCTGACAGAGGCATTCACATATGCTAAAACGATTCAAAATACAGTAAATTGTGTTCATAATCAAGTAAAGCCCCTAGCAGGTGTTTAAAAAACCATACTTCCTGACCAAAAAAAGCACGCTTCTTGGCCAAAAGAATTATGTTTAGCTGTACATCATGTAGATTGATGGATTTAAATTGTTTAATGTGCTAAATCTGATACAAAAATAGAAATATTATGATGTGTAACTGTGCCATAAGTTTAGAAAGAAGAGTTTCAGTGTCTCTAGGATGTCATGTCTTCTCTTCCTCCAGCAGAAACTTCCATTCAAGATGGCAAGACCATCCATCAGGGTCACATGTATTATGCCTGAACAATGTCCTAAGAGCACTATAAAATGTATAACACTCTTTGAAAGTTTAAGCCTGTGAGGTCCATCAGAGTTGACAATTTTTCCCTTAATCCTCCTACATGCTCTACCATGGGTAAAACTCAACAGAACTGGGTTTCCCAGTGCTTCTCAACTGCAAAATGAGAAAAACCTTTTCAAATCTAGAATTTCCTCCCTATGTTTAATTCCACAATACAGTGCAAATGTGTACAACCTCACATCAAATCAGAAATGAGGGCTAAGTATGGGGTGTGAGGTTAGCTGCACTTTTTGTGAATTCTCTTTTCTTATAAACAGAGGTGGATGCATCAGGCAGGGAGACATAGACACTTCTCTTCAAACTCTAAGTTTTCAAAAAATATTTTAATATACACAGACAGATGTGACATGTTGTAATTGGATGCACCACCCATGCTAATTATGCTAAGATCTCACTATGAAGCTTTGTCTCTACCTGGACAAAATTCTACAGACACCATTATGTTTACATATCTGCCATTATTCTTCATGTGTAATGGTGAAATGAAATATGAAACAAAGCCAACAAATAACAGAAAAAAAGTCAAACAACATTTCAAATTAGGTGTTTTATATATATTTATATCAAAGTATATTTCATTGTATTTTGTATTTGATTATCATAGGTTTATCATATATACATATAGTATATACATATACATGTCACAAGTAGGAATATATACAGTATATATATTCCTACTTGTGACATGTTTGTAGTCTGAACTGATGGATTTGACTATATAAATATATATAGTATTTCACTGTGTGTGTGTGTGTGTGCTTGTGTACTATTTTCTTAGATGTGGATGAAATGAGTCCCATGAAATACAAAAAATGAGGCATAGCAGATAAACATTTCTTGCAAGAAGTAGCCTGAATGTAACCCAAAAGGTGAAGAGGTAGAGAAAACAGTTCACATCATGTATGTTTTACTGCTTTCTTATGATCTGATAAGACAAGACTTCATTTTTTTGACATTACAGTCTCCAATTGAATAGAGAATTGATTTTATTTAAACTAGCTAATTTTTGAAAAAATAATGTATATCATTTATGCAATGAAATAATGCTTTGAAAATTGCAATGAATTGATTTTTATTATGATGTGAAAAAATATTAGAAACTATTCCTAATGTTTATCAAGAGGAGGGGCAACCCTTCAGTCAAATCTACAGAAATTGTCTTTTATATGTATTTGCTTCCCCTCCCCACAAAAAGACCTAAATAAAATCTGTCAACAGAATTTGCTGGTGGCTTGTGAGAAGTGTGGTGTTGATCTTTACACTTATCTTTTTCAGAGTAGTAAATTGCTTTCTAGACTTTTGTGACCCAAATTATACTTCTTAATCCACATTAATTTCTCAGTTCCTCTATTGTGGTAAAGTCTGACCTGAAAGCTCCTAATTATCAAAGAAAGCAGGAGTGAGGGAGCAGAGAGGGGAGCGTTTGTGTAAGTTGGAAAATAGCTGTCAGTCATTTTACCGATTTGAGAACTATATTTCTTTCTAACCTTGTCACCCAGAAAATGCTGCCTATAGCACATTTCCTCCCTCGTCTCATTCTGAGTACAAGGAGAGACAGTTAGAGAGTGACCTTGCAAAGCTGGGCAATCACATTATGTGGGATCAATTAATGGCTAGCAGAGTGAGTCACACTGTGAAGGAGCTTGAGGGCTTCCATCTAGTCGTACAGATACCCCTTAGGACTAGAGCAGAAAAGCCAATATTGTGAGGTGGGGGGGGCAGAATGACAAAGGAAGCAAGGAAAATGGTGGAGAAAAACACTACAGTGAAACAGTGAGGCAGTGAATAACAAGAAGAATGGCACAAATGTGGGTACAAGCTTTAAATAACACTGCATAGGTGCTTGGGGCTTATTATCATGGCTTATTACACATCAAACATATAATTTTATACACTGAACAGCAGTCTGCAAAGCATGCACATTTGGCTAAATAGATTCTGCCACACAAATATTTCCTGCTATAACCACTTAACAAATGAAAAATTGACAATTTGAGTAATGCGTGGGGAGAAGAGAAATGGAAAGGGGAGCATGCATGTATATGTTTGTTATCTTACAGCCAGAGGAGGTTTCATTAGATTCAAACAGCAGCTGATTCTCTGGAGAGGTTCCTGCTCTTTCTTGATAAGGGATGCTCTTTTATCACACAAGAAACTGCATTGCATGATCAGACAAATACTGTGTACAGCTGTCAACTGAGAACACAGCATTTGTTGGGTTTTGGGGGGGTTGTTTAAAATTATTTGAAAATCAGGTTGCACTACTACTAGTATACAACTGTTAGTCTCTTAATAATTGCCTTAGAAAATTGGGGTTCATTCTGCTTTCATAAGAAAACTGTTAGCAATTTCTAATATCTTTTGCCTTTTGCATTGATCCTAAATTAATCAGATGCAATCAGGAGAGGGGCCTCTCACCAAAGCCTTCCCTGATGCGCTCGTCTTCCAAATGTGTTGGACTTATCACAAGGCAACAGACCCAGTGACCATCCTGGCTGGGGACGATAGGAGCTGTACCCTAACATTAAGGACATAAAGAACACTTGCAAATTTTCTTGCCCTTGGGGGAAAAAAGGTGTATTGATACCTTGCACAACACCCCACTAAGAATCTATTTTGCATTGCAACCTCTGCAAATATGCAAAATACAAATTTTGCCACAAAACACATAGTCTCCCTCCCTGCCTTCTTTCTTCGCAAAATATAAGTTTTTTTCACAAAGAAATCTCCAGATTTTTCAGGGAAAAGCCCCTAAAATGACGGAAAATTTGCAAAAACAGTTGCACTCCAGAGAGAAAACATGGAAATGCTGCTTCACCCATGAACATCAGCATTGATAAATATTATCTTCAGAAATCCTATTCACTCTTTGTGCAGGAATACTATTGTCGGTCATAAATCTGGTTGACAGTTTGTGCAGGAGTACTATTGTCGGTCATAATCTGGTTGACAGACTGAATGATATACTACCGGTGACAGATCCTGTCACATGACCAGATATGCACCGAAACATTCCCGACACAGCTTTGTCACAAAGTAACTTGGAAGAAACCCCTACTGACCCACCAGTAAAAGACTAGCTTCTGATGAGAAACTTCAAAGAACCAGTGAGGGATATTTGGAGAGAGGATAGGTATTCACACTACGTTCCCTCTCTAAAATAACGTTCTTGGCCACCTATTCCCATCTCATATTGCATCTGGAAGAACAAAACAAAACAAAATATAAAACTTTTCTAATTGGAACTTCATCTCTAATGAAGAGCCTGAATGTTCTTGACTCAAAAGTACCGAGTATATATTATTATCCTGGATTTCTGAATGGGACCTCAGCAGAAGTTCAGTAGGGTTAAATTCTTGTGGTGTTCTCCAGTGCTAAATTTCCCAGCACAGCAGCATACAGGAAAAGTTAAAGTCCATTCATGCATGCCAGGAAAGCAATGCATTTTAGTAGAACTTGTAAATATGGTTGATCATAAGGAAGCCAGGCAATTTATTTAATTTCAAATCACTATCTCGACGAACCTACCTATTTACTACAAAACACTTAGTTGACATCCTGAGACAGAGATTATAGATTAACATGTATTGTCCCTTCCCCGCAATGACCACAAAAAATTATCCAATCTTTCCCTATCAGGGATACTGTTACCACAGAGAAGTGGGAAATCCATTAAAGATGTAAACATCCCCTTTGGTAGCATCCCCAGGCATTAGCATTGATTTTCAATCTACATTCAGTCTGTGTTTAATGCATATCAGCCATACAAAAATGTCATGCTATACCATAAGAGTCTCTAAATGCGTGAACTGGTCCAAGCAGCTCACAGGCATTGCATCAGTGTGGATGAACAGTGTTCATTACTCCTCTTTTACATCCATTTAATCTCTCTAAAAGAAGCTGTATACAGTCATTCTATTGGTGCAACAAGAATGTGTAACTGTGCCTCAGCATGGATGAAAAAAATGTTGTGATAATACAGGAGATGACAGATATGCCTTTGCAACTTAATAGTTATTACTTGGATCAGGAAGAAAGTCTTACTTTTAACAGTGAGGTACATGGACTTGCTGACGTCAGCCCCCACATCATTGCTGACCTTGCAGAGGTAGTATCCACTATCTTCTTCCAGTACATGCTTGATCAACAAGGAGCCATTTGTGAGAAGCTGGATGCGCCCGTTCAAGGCAATTGGCTGGAACTGGGGAACTCCAGCACCTATTGGGAGAGTTCAAGATGGATCAAGTAGTCTGCTATAAATCATACAAACCAGTGGTTCTCAGTATTTAGCCCTCTAGATGTTTTGGACTTCAGCTCCCTGAAGGCCTATGGTCTGGAATTCTGGGGGATTAGGTCTAAAACAACTGGGAGATCAAAGTGGGGAAACACTGATATAGAAGCAGAAAAGTAAAGTTACTGTATTACCGTGCCATAGTGCCTAAAGCACTCTCTGGGCAGTTTATAACATAATTATGCAAAAGCCATTCTTATAGGTCCTGCAACAATCACCATGATATACGTGCAGAAAAAGGTAGGGAGAAATAGGTTAAAAAGAACACTTAAATTAAAAAAGGTTCATAATTGTTGCAAGATCTGGCTGGCACTCTAATGTGAATTGTATATGCGATTTCCTTCCAAAAGGGAAGAACCAATGCTAACTATTCCAGTACAGTATTTAGAAGCTGAATCCACCAGCTAATTTAGCTGCTACTTGATCTTCTAATAATGAAAACATCTTCCCACTGGATCAATGTGATTTTCCACATTTTTAGGAAAAGGGAGTTGCTAATTCCAAATCTGGATGTAAAATGTTGCTATCATTCATTGTAGTAGACTATGAACAGAATTGGACTGTCCCAGGATTTGAAATTGGTGAAATCACTTTTTTGCAAAATCATTACAGCCTACTTGCAAAAATCTGGTCAGGCATTAAACTATGAAATGCAATTTGAACAACAGCAATGCTAAAGATAATATTGCTTGCAATCCAGAAGTATCCTAGGATCAGCTTCTATTATATTAAAAGAAACACACTAAATAATATATCAAATTAAGTTCTTAATATTAGCAAGTAAACAGAACTGGAACCAAGACATCAGGGCACATATAGAAGAACATTCTTCTTCATAAGAGTAAAAATAATTATGGTATATGAATCTAGATTCAGATTGCTAATGTACAGTACTATGTTGGAAGTCTACATGACTGAATAACAATAACACTTTGCATACATGTTGCACACATAAATGTGACAGGAAAGACTGAGAAGTATTCAGAATAAAACCTAAAACTGTATACTTCTGAAATGTGTCAAAATAATTGGCCGAGACTTTAAAGCAAATTGACTGGTTTATACATATAGAAACAGCCCCCAGAGACCATAATAAACTTGCGGAAGGGGGAGTTTGGCTGTACTATTACTTAAGTCAAGGCAGAAGAGGGTTTTGTCTGTTTTCTCCCTGCCACAGACAATACAGCTGCAGTCAAAGTACCTGGAGGCTTCTCCATTTGCTACAGAATGGCTCAATGGGAATGGCCCTATATCATGATAAAAAAGCACTGTTCCTAAGAGTTCGGGAAATAAAAGTCGCCTGGCTCCAGTGGCCATGAGTGCAAAATTCAAGGTGAGATCTGCTAACTCTCCATGCAAAATTCTGTGGGTTAGAACCTGATACAACTGCACTGGCTGCAACATCTTAAGGGCTCCTATACCTCTAAGAGATGAGACACTGGCAGTAAAGGATGCCTGCCTCACCATGACATGAGAATACAAGGTAATATTCAAGAGAGAATGCAAGACATATGATAGCACTAATATTAAGGAGAATATTGTCAATCCCAAGTCTGGATGAGAAAGGAGGAGGGGTAGGCGACAGGCGAGCAACCTGTCCCTGTAAAACTAAAAAACACTATGGAAACAATGCTGCCTGATACTGTATGCTACATAGCATGGAAGCGGATCATCATCAGAATATTAAGAAGACTCAAAATAATTAGGAAGATAGTTAAAAAGGTAAAGGCAAAGGTTCCCCTTGACATTTAGTCCAGTCATGTCCAACTCTAGGGGGCGGTGCTCATCCCCATTTCCAAGTTGCAGAGCAAGAGTTTGTCCATAGTCAGTTTCCGTGGTCATGCGGCCAACGTGAATAGACACGGAATGCCGTTACCTTCCCACCATGGTGGCACCTATTTATCTACTCACATTTTTACATGATTTTGAACTGCTAGGTTGGCAGGAGCTGGGACAAGTGATGGGAGCTCATTCTGTCGCGTGGATTCGATCTTATGACTGCTGGTCTTCTGACCCTGCAGCACAGAGGCTTCTGCGGTTTAACCCACAGCGCCACCACGTCCCTTAGCAAGATAGCTAGCTCAATGCAAAATATTACTGATTCACTTTGTATTTTTTATTTGCTGGAAACTACCCCGACACTAACACAGTAATGAGATTGTAATACTACAGGTTTCTAAATTCTCAGAATAACATTTTGCAATCAACATTTTTGAGGGTTTTTATCAGTTGTGTGTCAACACCTCTGTAAGTTCCACTGATTCATATGGTCTAACATAGCGCAACTTATATTAAACAAGAGGATTTCAGCCACTATTTACTGAGCAGTACCTTTTAATTTTAGAAAATCTGCCAATTTCATAGGGCAAGCTAGAGTCAAGTGGGGGCAGAATTAATACTCTGTTAGAGGAACAGAAAATGTTAATGTATGAAGTAAAGCGTAAACTAAATTACTGAGTATGCTACTAATACTTGACCTTTCCAGTGTATTGAAAGGATCTGATAGTCTATGCTACCCAAATAATTATTTTAATTTTTTAAAATAAACATCAGTCAGTTATGCTAATGATGTATAATGGAAATTGGTGTAAGGAGTCTTTAATAGAGTCTTTATAGGAAGCATCTAAGAACACTGCAGAAGATTAGTTGGCAACTTGAGAAAGTCTGGGGGTTAATTCTCTACCCTGGAGCATCATGGGCTTTACACAAACTTCTGAAGAAAAGGGTTTTTTTAAAAGTAAACCAGACATGACAAAGACCATTTCCAATGTTGAAAAAAAAGTACATTTTGGTGTTAAATACTTGCGTAGAGTGGGCACAATATAAATAAAATGTGGACTGCTGTTTGTAAAGGATGTAGGAAATTATTATTATT